TACATTGGTTGTATATTAGCAGTTTAATTGGAAGCTGGCTGAAAGTCACAAAAATATGCAAACAGTTGGTTGTGTTACAGATGCCTAGCAACAACCAATTATCTAAAAACAAGGGCCGTTCCTCAATCGCGAGGAAACTGGCTTCCAAGCCCAATATTTCAAGGATGCTACGTCATCGAGTGCCGCCGAAGGGCTGTTCCAATCTCCAGCATACTTGGAATTCCACCGAGGCCATGTCGTTGGTTTGGGGGTAATTTCGAGGCTGCACATGGGTAGACTTTGCGTCCTTCAAATCCCCACAATGCTTTGCGCACGGACCAATTTCAAAAACCCTTGCGGAGAATGGCTGAACCAACGCAGCACAGCACACATTTAAATGTAAGTATGTAGTTGCGTAGAAAATGTGTTGGTAAATATGTTACTTTGTTGCATTTGTTATCACCAAAAATTTGTTCCGTGAAAGTAAAGCAAGTTCATAATTAGATCGTGAGGTATATATTTTCGGTACAGTTTATGTTGAAACCGTTAGAGAGAGTGGCACACTTGTTAGCCTGTTCCATTCTTCTTTGTTTTCCGAAGCCGTGGCTTGGAAGTATACTTGCTTCGTTTCTGAAGGAAGTGACTTGGAAGTATGCGACTACCAAGCCAGTATCCTCGCGATTGAGAAACGGCCAAGGTCTCGTGTTTAGTGCTGCATGTGTGCAAAGGAAACTTCCGACAAAAAGTGAATATGAGAAAAACATTGACCTCTAATGAAGTCCCCGATGTGGTAATAGGACAGAGGATCGTCATGGCTGCCAGTGGAGGGAACTTCTCGTATGTGACACAGAGCCTGAAGGTAGAAAGGGAAGAGAACAAATGGCTGGTTGATAAATGACTGAAATGATGAGTACTGTGTTTTCTACCAGGTGTGAGGTCGGAATGAGGTTACTAAAATAACCATAATTCTGTGAATTCTTGAAGAAAAGCAGGTCCTGCTGAGCCTTTAGAAGAGAAGATTCCCAGCAGCCAAACAAAGGTATGAAACACAGTATGCGTAGATGAGACAAATTGTCCAATGTCAGTCATTAAGGAGTTCAGGGAAGCAGAGTTGGTACCAGTAAAGCTGGCCAACTGATCATTCCTATCTGCTGAAACTACAAGGATGACTGAGCGCTTTACATCTTTGAAAAGATTTTTGACATAGCTTGAGTGACATACCGACAACTCCAGGTCTTCTATGTCTCTCCTCAATCCTCCTGCCGTGCAAAGCAGAGTGAGAAAGAAGCCGTATTCTCTGATGTTGTTGATCCTCCCCACCAAAATGTCTCCCTTTTCCAAGTCCCTATACAACATGGTCCTTCTCTCCTCATAAGACACCTCCATGAATATCTCCATCGGTGGCATGATGGCATAGGGCTCTGAAAGAAAAGCAGACGAAAGAATAAAATGCTGCTATGCAATAAGCCCAGCAAGAATGTTACAAAAAAAGGTACGTTACAATCTATATATATCATCTATATTGTATTAAAAGACAGTTTAGGTGATCCCAGATAGCTCGAGGGGACTGAACAACATGAGAGCTGTTCGTTGAAAAGGGTTTTTTTGCCAAGTGAAAAGAGGAAAATTAGCTGCAACGATTTGATCAACGGGAGAGTAATCGGAAACTATTTGAATAACGCCATTTATTTCCTCTTAGGTGTGGATGATTACAACTTTGTACTACTACTTCTCTATTGTATATAATATTAAACTGAATATCTTAAAGTTTTTTGTGACAAAACAAGACATTTAACCTGCCAATGGAAATCAGCATTAAGCGCTCTCTTAGAGGCTGTATTGGGCTCAGTTTTCATATCATATAAAACAAGAATACCAAAGGAATTCATAAGCTAGCTTGTCTGGAAGGATGCTTAATAATGCTCAAAAGATGGCATGGCCATATTCACTGGAGTCCGGTGTATCAAAAATCATGCAGTTTTGTGCATGCAGCATAAACAAGTTATTTTCACCAAATCTCAAAATGGTTTCTGCAGCAGGAGCACCTTGACACTCTTGGGTTTGTATAAAGTGGGAAAAGCTGAGACTGTTGTGGATTCAATGACGCTAATTGTTCTGATTTGTGTGATGATGTTAGTGCCCATAGTAGCCATTTAATTGTGTCTAAATGTAGTATTCAACCATTCTTTTTAAGTCTCAAGCAGAAGTATGAAAAAAGACCTAAAGCTGTGAGACGAATGGTACAAATCCAAATATTATTATTATAATCATATTATTATGACATACCTTACCCACACATTCAACATTTATTGTATATAAAAATTGGGAGCGTAATGTGGACGAGCGCTGAGTGTTGTAGTTAAACACAAACCTGCGGCATCCTCCTCCTCCTCCTCCTCCTCCTCCTGCTCTTTGTGAGTGGCTGTTTTCCATGTTGGACAGAAAAGGATGTCAGCCTTTCTGGCAATGAACTGCTCAACAAGGGGGCTGTCCTGCCCATCACTCTTGCTGCACAAAAAACAAACATTGTCACGGTTTATTAGAGGCTTTTAAGCAAATAACCGTCACACCTTTTTCATTGACTAGTTTGTGCATCCTTGATTCCTTTCCTCGCTTCTTCCCGATACAAAAGCCAGAGGAAAGAGACAAAGCGGTACAATATCAGGAATGATCCATTATTGTTATCATGAACTCATGGTATACAGGTGCACAGGGAGAGGACACTTTTCAGTTATGGGCCTTCTTCAAGCGACAAATTCACAATATGAAATCACAACATCTTTGTTTTAGAGATCCAGAGGCTTCGCCGGGCAATCACAAGAGGCGTCAGATTACCAACACAAGAAACAAATACAATATCCATAAGGCCTATAAGTAATAAAGATATCCTCTAAACAAGCCTACCACTGAAATAAATGGATTTAAAGAGATGGTTCAACCAAAAATACAAATTAAAAGACCATTATTTTTTATATAATTCCGACTTTTTCCAAGCAAAAATGCCAAATATTCATTAATTTAAAGATTTTAACTTAAGATGTTTTGGCTTGGAACTGCTGGTCAGACAAGCAAGGAAGTCAGCCTTTGGAATTAAGGAAATTGTGACACTATTCACACTTTCAAAGAATTCAAGGAAACAATTTTGCGTTATTTGTTGCTAATGAACATAATTGTTGGTTGCAACATTAAGTGACACCAACAAATAGTCAAGAGATTAATAAAATAAGAGGAAAAACTATTAACTACTAGCAAAATATTGTATGTGCAAATGTAGGAAGTATTTGTTTTTCTACAGGAAAAGTTTAAATGGAAGTTCAAACTATGGTGTATGAACGTCAATATGCAAAGTTTAAATATATTCACAACTAAACAAAAAAAAAGGAACAGGATGAAATACCTTTCACACGTGGCCTTGCACAGGTCAGACACCACAGCCTGGAAGTCTGGGTTTTCTATTTGTTCACATTTGAGTTTGTTGAACAATGATTCTCCATGATATGTCAGACACTGCCTCAACAAGTCCCTGTCCATTCTGATTCCACGGGACTGCAGTCACATTATTGTGCAAGTCAAAGATAACAATACAACAGCTGTTGACTATATAAAGAACGATTGAGCTGTAAGCAAACTCTAGAAAGTTTGAAATGTGTCTCAGATAAATAAATGTAAGAATGTAATTACTTGGAGTCCATTCAATACAGTTAAGCGTTATTTAGATTCACAACGTTGCCCTCCCTGCATCGCTAGCTAGCCAAACAAACGCTAGTTAGTTATGCTAACAAACTGGGACGTGGACTTTTTCCTTCGTAAAAACGGAGTATATTCCAATAGTTTTGCATGAACAAGGCACCGCTGTTTCTAGTAACACAAAACCATGCTATCATTTTAATTCTGCAAAGTTTAGCTCGACAACTCAAACCTTTTGCCACCACACACGGAAAAGTGCGCATGCGCAAGTTGTGTTACATTGAAATTGTCGGAAGAAACAAATGCACATAGGAACCAAATTCCTTCAACTGAAACATTCATTCATCAAAAAAAAGAAGACGTATCTATCGTAGAGCAATAGAGATGGGATTTAACACTCAGAAAGCCACTGAGTGCGTTTGATTTCGGATTACAGTGACACACACAGTACGAGGTTTATTTAAAAAAAGGGGGGAGACTTTTTAGTATGGGCTCAGAACAGTCTCATAATACACACATGCACACACAGAAGGATTCACACGTGTATTTCATGATCCGCAAAAGGATTCACCCTTGTATTTCCGGATCCACACTTGTGTTTTTCAATGCACACACAAATGTGTTCCGTTTCATATACATGTAAATAAAATCCCAATACAGAAAAAGGTTTTTGATCCACACATATTTGTTTTCCGTTTAAAACCTCTGCACCTGCAACAGGGGCGGATCTAGACAAATATTCATGGGGTGGCAAGAGGGTGGCAGGAGAATTTCAGGGGTGGCATCCCCTGGCAGAAGTATCTGACGGTCAGCCGATTCGTACTTGTAATTTTTTCTATTGCCAATCAGATGTCTCCTCAATTCTAAGCCAATCACATGAGCGCGCCCCTACGAGGGTAGATTTCTTGCGTTCATGACGTAGTGCATTTTGCGCAGTCCGGAGCTGACAGGTCCATGGAGCCTGCCTGCAGGCGCTAATCTCAGGACACCTCCACTCTCAGTACATTAGCCGCGTTCACACCGGAGTACTTTTCCCACTTTAGTTCCGATATAGTTCCGAAATGTCGCGTTCACACCAAAAAGACCCGGAACTAAAATTAGTTCATGAGAACCTTTTTACCCCCTTTCCCGTCCCTGCTAGAGAGCAGGGACTCTCATGCGGCTCTCTTGTGAGAAAAGAGCTATATTTCTGATTGGCTGGGCGGATTGCAAACCACGCCCCGTAAAACAAACAAAAAAGATGTGTGAAGCCACCATTTTATTATCCTCGCATTAGCACGAGAGACTAACTTATGGCAAAACAAAATAAAACATGGGAGCGGTGGAGATGAGGAGGTGTCGGCGTTCTGGCGATTTACTCGGAAGGCTTC